TTAGAAGATTCGACGGTTTTCAGATAGGATTCGAAGGTACGAAACCAGGGATTCCAGCGTTTTGCTGCATCTGCGGAGTTTGGGTCAGCGTCGAAGAACGGAGGTCGTAGTTGCGGGGCCATTCTTATCTTAGACAAGTAAATTGAGACGTTTAGAAAGTGTCCGAGAACGAGTTAGAACAGAGTCCAGGTTTTCGAGGACAAGCAATACTTGTCTATGACACTGGTCAACCCTGGAAGATGTTCAAAACCCCGGTGTCGAAATAGCCATTGACGTCTTTGCTTGCGATCTGGAATATGCGCTCAAAACCGTTCTCGCCTTCGAAGGGGAGGCGAAGGCGAAGGTGTTTTTGGATGTACTGAAGTCATCCTGACCGTTCTCGCCTTCGAAGGGGAGGCGAAGGCGAAGGTGTTTTTGGATGTACTGATGGAAGTCATCCTGTCCTTTGGCAGGCGCTTTGCTCCCACGGAATTTAAAGTTATGCTCCTGGACATGCAGTCGCTGAACATGCCACCTATAACCCAGGATGAAGCGCTCGAAGTTGTGGTGCGTACGTACCTTACGTACCCTGGAAGTTGTTTAGTTTGTGACAGATGAGGACAATGCACGAATCCGCAGGACCCGGGTCGCGTTTGCTAATTTAGGACACCTACCGTCTCAAAGCACTCTACCCCTGAATATCAAGGGACGTGTGTATCAGGATACAGTGCGGACTGCTTTGTTGAATGACTGTGAGACTTGGCCTGTTCGAGCGGCGGGACTGAGACATCTTCAGGTGTTCGACCATCTGCAGGTGTTTGAACCACAGATCATGTGGGGTGGTGACGGAGAATCCGCGATAGGACAATTAGAAAGGTTGTTTTCGGTTGTACAACGGGAACTTTCATTGATTGGTGTTTCCAACACCAGAGGCTGTGTTGGTTAGGCCGTGTATTTTATATGCCGAACCATCGTTTTCCGAAGAGAGTGCTGTTTTCTCTGTCCGATTCAGAGTGGAGGAATCAGAGAGGCGGCCAACCATTGATATTGTGGAGGGGTATGAAGGAGGTTACGAAATGTTTGGGGGCTGTCGGTAGTAATCGCCTTCTAGGATGGGGACCGCGTGATTCCCAGTATGCCTGGTTGGAGGCGCTGCATGATATGGCTGCTAATCGATGTCACTGGCGTTTTTGTCATCAAATTCCATCCAGCACGTCGGTTGGCTCGCCTGCTCGCATGAAATGTTGTTTGCGTCGCACACAGTTTTGTAGCAGGCCTTTGCAGGTTTGAGTCGCATTCCAACGAGCGCGGCATAATTGTTTATGTTATTTAAAACGGGTTGCGTTTTGGAAAGATCCTGACCAAGAGCAGCAACAAGTTATGCATACAAAATGTCTGAAAGGGGAAATCCCGGGGCTTTTTGGCTCCCGATGTTTAAGAGGCAGGCAGCGGAACTTCAAGGCGTATATCAATAATAGAGTTAAAGATGAAGGGTGAGGGAGGGCAGTCTTGTTTTACATCAGTGAATGCGGTGAACTCAGGTGGAATCTTGCCATATATTCGTACGCACCCTCAGGAGTTTTCGTACAGTGCCCTCTTAATGGAGATAAATTACGAAGGAACAGATTTGATCTCTAGACACTGCTAAAGTTTCTGACGATCGATCAAGAAAAACGACCAATGTGGGTTTCACTTTGAACCTAGGTGATTGATGCAAGATATGCGACTGAGATACTATCTGAGTATACGCACCCGAAGTCCTTTGTTAAGTCGAGAAGACTGTCGTTGTATTCGGTATGGTTCTGTAATAACAACAAATAAACAACGGTTATTGATTGAATAGAAGTGTCAATGGTTAATACATAGTAATGATTCAATACGAACGTACATTCCAGATTGTACCACAGGTCTTTGAGCAGATCCAACGTCAATGTCAAGGAAAATGCAGGTGAAGTTTATACTCTAAGCAGTGTCTGGAATGTGGAATGAGAGTCATGAAGTGTCGGTAGGTGTGAAGGAATCAACAAGCGTTCACCGAACGTTACACTCTCCCCGGAATCGACAACTGAGTTGGATCGCTGCTTGGTGGAGTGTCAAGGATCTCAATGTTTCCTTCGAGCCTGCATAAGTGACGCACGTCCATGCGAACACGACCAGCGGCTGTTCGGATAATCGCCTCACGCACTAAACCGTCCGATCCTTCGACGATATTCTCAATGACGGCTTTCGACCACTGACCTCTGGGGGCGCCTTTGTTGACAACCAGAACCAAGTTTCCCGGCTGAACATTTGGATGAACTCGTGTCCAACACTGGGTCAATTGCGGTGTCGGGAGATAAAGGTTCAGCCATTTCTTCCAAAATATATCTGCCAAATTTTGGGCTTGGCGCCATCTTCTGTTAAATTTCCGACAAGGTATTTCCTCCGGAACGGAAACCGATTCGTTGCTGCGAAGTAGTAACAATTTATTAGCACTTACTACGTATTGATCATCCGGGTCATCGAACTTCTTCACCAATGGACGGTCGTTCAACATACGTTCTATTTCCACTATCGCTGTACACAAAACTTCATCCGTCAGCGGCTGTTCCTCCAGAATAATCATTAGTGCACGCTTAATTGAGCGGACTACTGGCTCCCAAACTCCACCTTGGTGGCTGGCTTTCGGGGGGATGAAAATCCAATCACATTCGCGAACGAGGAGTTCATTCCGAATCTTCTCTTGACTCCACGCACGCATAAGCACTACCAAGGAAATACACCGCGTCATCCGTATGTTCGAATAGTACGCCCATTTCCTGACAAAATCAACATACTCGTAAAGAATAAAACATCCTGTCTACCTGCCGACGTCGAATTAGCCTGCTACAACGAACTAGAAAATGCTACGCTAATTGCAATGGATTATACCGAGCCTTTGGTTTCTACCGTATGTCCACGCTTAACATACATCGGACCGCAATAGTCTACAACGCATATTGTGAATGGATCCGGGTAACACTGGGTTCGATGAGCCGGTAGTGGAGTCATAACTTGTTGACAAGGTTGCCCGAACCAACGACGGCATTTAAAACAGTCTTTTACTAGCGGTTTGACCGTTTTTGATTTTTCTCAAGGACACTCAATTCGAGCGAGAAGAATCACTCTGTGTAGTGGGAGTCGATGACTTAGTTAATCGATTATTGATCCGTTGAGGAGAATGAGAAGACGTCGCCTAAGGATAGGCTTTATTCAACATATAAGCACAGTATAGGCTGAAATGATAAGTGAAAGTGAATTAGTGGAAATAGCAGTAAAGCGTAACTTTCACTACACTCTGCCACCGAGAAGGAGGCCTACGCTATCGTTGAATTCATCTGGAAATGGCGGTACTATCTATTCGGAAGACCCTTCAAACTGATCATCGATCAGCGTTCAGTCACATTCACTCACGGCGGTGGACAGAAAGTAAAGTGAAAAACGATAAGGTACAACGCTGGAAGTTTGAGTTGTCCGAGTACAAGTATGATGTCATGTACCGACCTAGCAAGGAAAATCTTACCTCAGACACTGTCACGAAACGTATGTGCTCCCATGGGAAGCACATGTTTCATTTTGTGCGTTGCGAGAATCTCCCTTACTTCAAGCGCGTTATTTCCTGCAAATTGTGTGCCGATTCTGGAAATCCTCTGGTAGGCGAATTAAGGCCTGAATTTAAATTTTAAGTACTAAAGGTCCTTTGCCATCTAATACACGCAACCGCTACTTACTCACAATAATTGACGAGTTCTCCAGATTTCCATTTGTATTTGCGTGTGGGGATATAACCTCGGCAACTATGATTGACTGTCTCACACAAATCTTCCGTTTGTTCAGAATGCCATCCCATATCCATTCCGGCAGAGGTTCATCGTTCATGTCGTCCGGGATCAATGGCTTTCTTCTGGAGAAATGTGTTGCTTATGAGTCACACATCGGCCTATAATCCACAATGTAATGGTCAAGTTGAGCGTCTCAACGGTACCCTCTTGAGATCAATAAGCTGGGCCTTGAAATCTCACATTCTTCTGCCTTCCCATTGGGAGCCGGTACTCCTTGATGCTCTACACAGCCTCCCATCGATACTGTCCTCCGAAAACCAACCGAGTTATCCTGAAATTCTAGAACGACCGCGATGAGGAACAGAGAAGCCTGAGTCGATACATCATCCCCTGTTTTCGTCAGTTCATATGTGCTCATTCAAACAATTCCGGGGTGAATGTCACGATTTTTGTGTACTTATTATTATGCTTATCACATATACTCGTATTGCCTTTGCATGTACATTTCAGCTAATCCACGTTTCTTTCTAGACAATAAAATGTTGCTTATCCTCGAAAACCTGGACTCTGTTCTAACCCGTTCTCTGACATTCTATAAGTCCCACTTCTTAAGGCTGTAGACTGCTCCGACGGTCTTACACCACCCACCGCTGTCTAATAAATAATAATAATCGTTCAGCTGTAACACCCTTCCGGTGCCTAGCTGCCATGCCACCCGGAGGAAGCACGAGGGCTGGGATACTGCCAGGTCGCCCAGGCCTAGACAGGGGAAGTCGAGTGGCAGAGGTCGGGTTCGAACCACGAACCTTCCGGTCAGTAAATTCGCGCTCTAACCACTTGGACCATCTCAGGATAAACCAATTTCAGCGTCCCGACTGGTTCTGTCTTGGCTTGGTCAACCCGGTAGTATCTCAGCCTTTGTGCTAAGTTAAATGAGACTGCGAGGCAGACCTAGGACCAGTCGGTGTTCCTGATGGAGCGACAGGTGGTCATCGACCCTCACCACCGATAGCCATTGCATTGGAACGGACGGCCTCCAGCATCTCCAGTTAGTTCAGCTCGGGGTCCGACGCAAATAACTTTTACTTAGCATGCCATAAAGGGATAAGTGTTCAACTTTTACGCGTGTTTCCAGCCTGGAATGTGTTGGCTGGTTTTTCACCCTCATTGACATCGTTGCTTTTTGTTTTTCAGTTGTCTATCCATTGACTTGTGAAAGTAATGGAACTTCTTAAAGCAGAAATCGCCAAAAAGCGTAACTACTTGGAGAGCAGCAAACTTCTTGTATGTTTTCTCGATTCATCTTAATGAGGACATTAATCAGGGTGAAACCAAGTACTTCAAACGCTCTGCGTTGCGGGAAAAAGAAGAAGAAGAATACTGGACCAAATCTAAACGTGTAAAAGAGCAATCTGAGGATCAGAATGAATCTAACGTTTTTGATAAGGTTTGATTTTTTCTGCGCTATCCTTAACTTTTTTGTAAACAGAATGAAGAGGATGATTTGTTGCTAAAGAAATTTGAAGAGCGGAGTCGAGAGGAGCGCGAGAAAGGGCAGTTGATGCCGAGAAAAGAGGTGAGTTTAATGGTCACAGGATTTTCACCTTTCCAGGTCGTCCGGTTATTACGAGAAAGGAACCAACCAATACGTCTATTTGGGGAGAGTGACTATGATACTTTCCAGCGCCTGAAGCGTTTGCAACTCTTGGAACCGGAGTCAAAGGGAATGAGGAATGACCTAATTGCTGCGCTAGATAAGGTAGAATTTCCGCATAGTTTGGTCATATGTATATTCAGGTCGATGATGCTGAGGATGAAGAATTTTACTCATCTGGTCGTGGACGTGTGGCTGATGGTGCACATCCTGCAGAAGTCTCCTCATTGGATGTGAAAACCAAAGACGGAGGAATCAGTGAGGAAGAATTCGATAAGATGAAAATGGATCTCGCGCGTTATGTCGTTTATCGTGAAGGTACAGCAACAGATGATGCTACTTCGACGGTTGTGGCCATAAGCAAATTGACTCCCGTGACTATCACAACAGAAATGGAGCCAAACTTTCGTGACAAAGTCACCACTCATGTGCTAAGTTATTTGAAGGTCAGTTTATGACATTTTCTGCGATTGTAATTCTGTTTTGTAGAAGAAAGCGAACTCAAAATGTTTTGTTCGGTTTGTTTTTCGTAATCTATCCGTATATTTCTCCGTAGTAGGATTGGAATGTGATTTTATATTTCACTTGTTCTGCGAGGTTAGTTTGCTTAGACTAGACAGCCTTTTCTTTAATCCTAAGTAGCCGTCACAAAGACCTTATAGTGGTGTGACGGTTTGCGTGCCTCCTATACTCATTGAGCTACACTGGAGGGTGTTCTTGCGACACTCACAGGGTCTCTGGTACTAGATTCGGCAATGCCTAAAGGTCTGAGCAACACGTTCTCCAGGTTGAGGGTTTGTACATGTATGGCGATTCGTTCTCTAAAAACGGGAGTGAACTGACATTCCCCGCCAAACGGCGCTGCCTTATGATCAGGCCAAAGGTTTTGGTCGTGAATCCTAATCACCCTCCCATGTAGGTTTAGGCACTATGGTCCCAGCCTACGTACAATCAGTATGAAGTCCATTGTTTTCTGTTTGTCACGTCTGCTTGCGCCCCCAATTGACTGTGGCCCTAACACCACCAAAGACAAGTTTAACGGGGCTCTGAATTACCTGTTACAACGGGCTAAAAGCCGGGAATCTGAATAAACACGTACAGGCACCTCGACCGCTGAGCCAAATGCTTTGAACAACAATTCTCGTGACCACCTGTCGCCACTTATTCGAATCCTGGAACTGAAGTAAAACCCTGGACCGTGAATTTGGTACCCCTGTACGGATTCAGAGGTTTCTGACTGCATTTGTCATCTCAGGCGCCACCGAACTCCTGGTTTGGAGGACCTATCACCCTCATTGTTCAAGGATTGGGGCGAAGGTCAGCGTTTGTTTAATCTATTTGTCTGTATCTGGGAAAAGGAAACTGCCCATGCAACTGGGCGAAATTGGCGAAAGCGCCCATTTTTGAAAATTTGACCCGTTGTAACTGTGGCAATTACACAGGGGCCAGCTTGACTTCAGTCGTGACAACACTTGGCACCACTTGTTCTGCACCGCCCTACGGAGGCCCGTGAAGCATTGACTCGAGAGCGACAAGCGGAATTCCGGTCTGGTAGGAGCATTCCTGGAGTTCCAAGGCGTATTGGACTTAGCTGACCAGAATGTTGTCCTTAAGACGCCTTTTCCAGAAGGTTTCTGAATATCATAATCTCTTTGTATTCTCCAACTTTGGAGCGTGCGACAGCATGTGGGAAACTCCCCAAAGGCTCCCATACACAAGTTGATATCCGAAAATGATACCCACTGTCCCCATCCTTATTCGGTTTCGTGATGGGCGAAAAAATGAGACGAATGGTGCACAGTTCTCAAAACCTTGGTGGTCAAATAGCTGCTGACGAAAACCCTGTATATATGCAATACCCAGATGACATCATTCGCATAATTTAAGAGGAGATAGATTTTTCCCGCGAACTGAAAGACAGGCCCTAGAATCGCACATTGGGACTGCCAAACGGTTTATGGTAACCTCCTAGTTCCCCTGAAGTACAACTGGAACCTGCCAAGGGTCCGATGCATTTCTAAACGCATCTGCTATGCGTAGTAGCATCTAGAGTGAACCACCTATGCATAACCTCATGCGACCTCTATCTAGACTACCCCCACCCCACAGCCAAGCAGTTCGGATGTTGTCCACTAGGCAAGATCCGCCACCTTCTGCATTGTAACTTGAGTTGTTAATTCAACTGTCCATGGTGGGTACCCCTAAAACCCCCTTCCTCGGCTTGGATAATTCTTGGAGCTCTTCGATCACTAAACTTCAGCCACACTCCCTTTCACCTTATAAACGGTTCACTTCGTATCTTCAGCCGACAGTCCTCAAATCATTTTCCCGTGTCCGTTCAGAAGAATAAGTCAAAATAAACTCATCCTGATACATATTACAGCCTTATTCTGTCAAGTTTTTCAACAGGTACCTCATGATAAAACACCATATTTTTCTGTTGGTATGTGCAGTATCCTCAAAACAAATACAGGACAGTTCGGTCATTTGCATGAAACCGCTTAGGATGAGTTTAGAGATTCCACAGTTTGCACTTGGGTTACCCGGCGATCAGGATGAAATCTCTTGCGGTATCTAGCGTGTGGGAGTTGCACCCAGACCCAGGACTGAAATCAGTTTACCGGACTGGATCCTGGTAAACAATCGTCTCTGCGGCAGGTTGGTTTTCTGAATCTGAGAATGAGGAGTTTTATCGATATCTTTCACGACTGTTTCGGTCATCAAAAAGAATTGATATAGCAATGCTGGCGGCTGATATGAAAGCCTGATTGGGACGACTAAGCCTGGAAGAAGCACAGTTACGGGATAGATATGGAGTCGACGCTCACCGAACGGACAATGTTGGGTGGCTCTTCCTGGTAATTAGAAGGTTTCCGCACGGGCGCACACACCAAATTACATGGAGGCCACCAACTACAAGCCAATCGTGAACTCAATTAGCCTGTGTGGCAATCATCAGTCCATGGAGAGCCTCAATTAATGATTGCCACTCCATCTGGGGTGCGCAACTTGACTCTCATCATGCAGTTGTTGCTCGGTTATCACTTCACTTCCCATCAGCCTTACAAATGCCGAAGCTGGGCAATTCATTTCGTCAGTTTCGGTTAGCTTCAGTAGCACAACAAACTCAAGCTGATCTGATAGGAAACCTGGTGGATACTCAGTCACTCTGGTAGCGAAGATCGCTTGGAAGTTGAATGGAAGCAAGTGAAAGAGGCTTTTCTCTCAGCGTTTAGATATGTATGATCAAGCCATCCGACTTGACGGAATGAACACTGGATTTCGTTGAGATCAGCAGACTTTATTGCTTATATAGGGGACACCAGCATATGGCAACCAGAATAGCACACGCATATCTCTCAAATGCCCGGATAATAAAGAGCATGAGGAATGACAAAACTCTGGTGGGTTGCTAAGGTCCTGGAGATGGAGAAGGCCGCCCCCTGTTTCAGCCGATTCCGCCGACCGGCCAAAATAAGACAAGTGTCAGCGAAAAAGCCAGAACAGCGATCCATTCGCAAAACCATCGTCTTGAGCAATGAGCTGAATTCTTCGAAGAACGATTTAGCTGGACTAGTTCAGCACAGTCTGTGGAAGAACCAAAAGACCATAAAAATGGAATATCGGAACTAGCCCCCCATCAACAGCAGAAAATGAGCGTGAAATATCACTCATCCAAACGAGTTATATTTAACGCCAACCTAAAGCTACTACTCCGGCTACTACGGCTCCGGGCAGAGTCCCTACTATCCACTGCCTCCAGTCAGAGGCTAGGTCCCCGAACAAAAGCCAACATCCTCCCACTGCCTTGTGGGTTAGACTTTTGGGTCAAAAGCTCAAGGTGGGATACCTGGGCTTAACTCTTCTTACTCGGTTTGGGCAACCGGGAAGTATCATGCGCCCGCACAGCTCTGTGTCCACCGATATCCATCCCCCCCCCCCCCACTACACAAGCACATGTTGCTGGGTCATTTGACTGTTAGTTACCTGACCGAAGAGCCTTATCCACCCCGCTGCTTATTACCGATAACCTTTCTAAGTCCATTAGGTCCTTTCAATGTAGAAGCTTTTAACGTCTGTACTTTTTGACAAATTGGCAAACAGGCAATGCTTTATGAAGCCTTGTACTCCCTTAAAGTTGATCTGTGCTGTGTCTATGAAACACGCATACAAGAACCAGGCTTGTTATTCATCTCAGATAACTAAGGACGAACTCAGGTCTTTCACCTTTCTTCCTCCATGTGTCCGGTGATCCGGAACTGATGACTTATGGAATATATGGTGTGGGAATTGCACTCAGCCCCAGAGCTGAGTGCACTTTGGTGGATTGGATCCCAGTGGACAACGTCTAGGCGCCGTCCAGTTATCTAAATCAGTCAAGCTCAACGCCTCGGCATAAAAAATCGGTGCCTGCTTGTAGTATCGACTACAGTTCTGACACTGAGAATGGTACTTTCTATCAAGAGTTATTCAGGCCCATTCGTTAAGCTAGAAGCTCTGATACTGTGCTACTTGCGGGCGATGTGGATGCTCAATTTGGTCATCTGATCTCCTTGGGATCACATTAGGTCGTTCAATTCGGAGTGAATTCTCGTCGCACAGACATAGTAGAGCGGCTCCTCCACTTGTGTGCTGATGATCAATTGTTCCTGACCAGCACAAACTTTCAGCATAAGCGATCGCCTCGTGTAACTTGGCAGCTACCAACTGCATTTCAAATAACATGGCTATCAGCCACCAGTTCGGAGCTACAATTCAAGCCTGCTGTTCTTTGTGGGGCACACAACTTGATTCCGATAAAGCCATTGAGCGTGCAAGCCTGAGTGTTCTTTTTCTTTCAGGCCCTCGCAAGTCGGCAAGCAGTATGTCAGTCAACCATCTTCGAAAAAACTACCATAGCTCAACCGTATCGATCCGAGCTAGCCCAACAACTCCGCAATAAACCCATACTGTACTGGAAGGTAGCATGTGGTTGAAGCGTTTCAAAATATGAAAGGAGCTTTGTTAGCGGCATTCAATGCTGTCTGTCTGAATTCTCCCATTTGACCGCAAGACTACTGGATGTCGTCGAGACCCATGATTGATGCTAGAAAATCCATACCAGCAAGTAACGATTACGACGGCGGGCGCAAATCCCTCAAACGCTAAATAATGAGGAGTCTAAGGAAAGACTGAGAGCTCTGGTGGACATCGAAAGCTCGGGAGATGGAGAAGGCTTTTGCTACCCGAAACAGCCGAGCCCCGTACCAACTGATACGATCGACTGGAGAGCAGCGGTCAGTAGAAATATAAGTGAAAAAGGCGGATGATTATTTCACTCCCAAAAACGTACTGGAGAGATGGGCCGAACATTTCGAAGAACAGTTTAGCTGGCCTCCTGCAACCCAGTTTGTGGGGATCGTGCATACGGGCGAATGGAATGTAAAACTCAATCGCCCGTCGTAAG